AACGCCATCAAAAACGTCGAGCGCGAATCCAGCATCGTCTCATTCAAGAATTTTAAAAAAATGCAAAAACTTTTCGTATTTTTCTCGCATTACAAATTTGTTTTGTACGTTAAAATATTGTTAGTATATAGTAAAAGTATCGTACATTTTAGTTCCGTGATTAGTTTAGCGTAGATGTAAACATATTTGAAGTATTTTGGATTGTTTGAAAGTATATGTATCGTTAGTTTGATTGCATTTGCCTACCTTAGGAAATAATACAACTATACAATGCCTCGCCTGCGCGCAGGCAGGCAACCATAACATTGGGCTGCCTATGGTTTTGCCTAGCGTTTCCAGTCCATTCCTTTGATTGTCTATGCTCATAGACAACGAGGCCGAGTTGTCTAATTGTTTTAGTATAAACTTTAACATTAATTACAACTAGGCTGCAAACACAATACAAAAATACACAAAAAAACCATTATAAAACCATTAAAGGTAAACAAATATTTTAGTTTTTGTGTTAGCGTAAAATGTTTTACAAAATTCAGTTTTAATTTTGAAATTTCATTGTATGTGTATGTCATTTTGTCTATTTTCTTACCCTTAAAAATTTCCATTCCATATTTTTGTTGCTTTTTTCGGGCTTTTTTAGTACAGAATTGTTCAACAAGTCGTCCAAAAAATCATCAGACACTTCGGCAAAAGTGCAAAACGCGAATTTTCCGCCATTTTGAATTTTCTATTAGTAGGCTATCAAGGCTATCACTAATAGCCTACTAGTAGCGTAGCCAATCAGAAGGCACGATATGTGATAGCCTACTAGTATTACTAGTAGGTTTATACTAAAATTCAATAGACCTTTCCGGTACTTACGTCACGGCTAACACTGCTTCTTTTTTATGTCTGTGTTGAAGAAGGATGTTCTGCTTCTGGATGTTCATGAACAAATGGCTTAAAATACCCAATTAATAAAAATATGTGGTATTTGCACAAATTTGGTATTTAAATATATAATACATTTTAAATATATAAATGATTGGACGGGATTCAATTGTTCCGAGCGGGAATTTAATCTCTAAATAAATTCCCGCTCGAGCGGGTGATTTATACATTTCTCGTTGGCAAGGGAAATTTATAAATTGCCCGTTGGCAAGGGTCCAACCCTTTTGCCTCCCTGACGACTACGCATTATAGGCCGTTTGCTGCGTCCCGATATCGTTCACTTTCATTTCCCATGTCTTGGAAGTTGGGACATGTTGTCGATGACGACAAACCATTATGTCACTCAAAAGGACCATTTTCTATGAACCAGTCTTCCTTTTAACAAAAGACCGTTTTGCCCGAGTCATTTTGAGTTATGTAATCTTATGCGTGTTGGACGTAAACAACATATCTTGTTTACAACTTTGAGAAGGTACAGATAACGTTTTCTAAAATCCTCAGTCCTAGAGATATCTCTATAAAATCTCTTTTGGCTAAGTTACTGGCCTAAAAAAATAACTCTTTTAACGCGATCAAGGTACTTAAAAACAAAAGTAACGCCAAGCCGATGGAACGGCAAAGACAACGCTAAAATGAAATATTAGTGAGTTTAAGATACCCTGGTTTCGGTGTACGGGTACGAGTAGTGTCATCTTGTTTACTAGTTTTTACTGATGCCTGTAATTCAATCATACTTTTTCTGTTTTCTTGCAATAAGACAATGATATAATGGGAAAAATGTGCACCTTAATTACGAGTAAAGGTACAGACGATCGACGAAAATATTGCTAACCAAAATCATGCTACCCGTACCCGTACACCGAAACCGGGGTATCTTAACCTCTCTATTGTCGATAGGTTGCTGGTAGACGACTTACGGCAGGATCACGTTTGAGGAAACGCACAGTCGAGATTTATATTTAGCATTATGCATGCCGTTTGCTCGGCAACTAGCAACTAGGGAGATTTGCAGAGATTTTAATATGTACTATTTAAAACATGAGCAGCAGTGTTTTATATTTCAGTTTCAAGACATGGGAAATGAAAATCGTTTCTAGGCAATTTTCGAGGTCACAGCAAACTGCCTATTAGGCAAGTGCAAGCACAGGCGGCCCAATCTCAGAATGAATGATCAGGTGTTGCGGGTTTTTAACGGTTTTTATAAACAAATTTATAGTCAACCAAAACTATTCAAAAAACATTCTCAAATTAGTCAAATAAATACATTTTAATATAACAATAAAATATAGTTGACATGATAGTATAATACCTTTGCATTCTTTTAATTACTCCACTCCGAGAACTATCCGAAGAGAACCGAAGAACATTATAAATAGAATAAATAACCTCTGCGGAGGAGAGAGACTCCATGAACTCATTTAGAGCGGTTGATGTAACATTTTCCGTGGCCTACATTGTGTGTTGCTCATTACACTGGCATGTAGGCCAAGTGTCTTAAATCCCTCTTTTTCTGTTTTCTTCGTCGTCGAGAAATCGAGTTTGCGTTAGCTCATCGCAGACTCAGGGTGCAAAAATTAAGCCAAAATGCCATCGATTCCCCTCGGTCACAGAATAAAGATCAGTACCAGAAGAGCCACTCAGCGGTGCAACGTGTCACCATTTTTCTATGCAAAAATATGCAGTTGACTGGCCAGAAGGCGGGGCCTTCAGCCAATACAGCGCGTTTATTGGCCAGAAAATGTAATCGACTGGCTAGGAAGATGGCGGCCAGAGTGCCCTTCTGTGTGCCTTATTCTGTGCCTCGGTTCCGTGAAATCACAGAATAGATACCGGACCAGAAGTGTCACTCCTATGTGTTTTGGCTGAAGGAAAACGTCCGAAATTTTTTTGCGTGCTATGACGCCATCCTGGAGTGCACCCGGCACTTTGTACCTATGTTTTCCTATGAAAAACTTCCGTGTGCACTCCAGGATGGCGTCATATGATGGCGTATTTTCACGTCAGCACTCGTAAAATTTCGGACAAAATATCGCCTGAGTGACACTTTTGGTCCTGTATCTATTCTGTGGTGATATAGATACAATAGTATCAAGCTCGTATTTATGTACGTAATAGCCTGCTCATGCTTGTGGTACATTTTTCGTTTATTAGCCCATACACTTGTACGCACACGCACAATTCCGAACTCCAAGGATAGAGTACTCCAGTGACATATTCAGTTCAGTTTCAAAATGGCGGTTTTTCACTGAGCGATATAATATATATTTCACACAGTTTCGTTGAATTTTCAAAGAATTGTGCCGGTTTCCTATGGAAAATACGTTGTATTGCACTCTGTACTCTCTGGCGTGTTGAATTGATGTGTTTTTCTTTGTGTAACGACCGGAAAAAACCCAAAATTTGGACCCAGCGAATTTATACAATTAGTGGATTATTAAGTGGAATATAAACAAGGACAAGTTTAAGGTTTGTCAGCCCGACCCTTTAAATAACAAGTATAAATATACGTTGTAGGCTCATAAACAGGCGTTGTGCACTTGTGTCATTTGCATAATTATATATTTGCACCTAATTACATTAATTTGCGCCAAATTACTTTCCATTTCATCATATATTACTACTGATATATTACTCAGTGAAACGTGATACGGTTCAATTTGTTTTCGGAACAAGATCCAACTTTTCCCCCCACTTTTTTAATTCTCAAATTGTTTATTAGATGTTTACTGGTTGGGGTTAGAGAAGGGCTTTGGGTTGGGATCAGTTTATCTTATAAATGGAAGCAAATTGGCGTATTTTTTAGAAGAATCGTCTATGTCTATGAACTTTTTAGCACCTGAAACTAGCCATATAATGACATTAAAAATCAAGGACTATATAATTTCTTCGCCATTATTGACCCATTATTATTTACGGTTGATAGTTGATGATCATAGTTACAGTGGGCCTGGCTTGTCAGCAATGGCGGCGCAAGGCCTCAGAATTGGGAGGGGGGGGGGGGCATTTGAGGGGCAAACTCATATTGGGGGGGGGACAAGATAGAATATTTAAAAAATGTCGCCTCCCCAGGAGATTCGCACCCTTCTCAAATTCGTGATACTTTCATCTTATTAGTGCCTTACACGTTTGAGAATTTAACTCTGCAAAACTAAAGCTTTTTTGTCTTTTTTGAAACGTATTATTGGAGTATTGGCAAGTTTACCATTCAGAGATTTACAAACTAATATTGAAACTGTAAAAAACAGTTTCATGTATACGCGCATTCACTAATGAGTAATGATAACTTATAAGCAATACATTTTCCGATAACGACAAAACGCTTATGTAGCTTTTATTTGCTCTTAGTGACTAATAATTTTCTATTGAAAGGGGGGGGGGGATGGGGGGAGGCAAAAAATTTGCCGCCCACTCCCCCCCATGGCGCCGCCACTGCTTGTCAGGTTGAGTTGCCCGTAGCCGGAGGGTACGCCTGAGCCGGCGTCCCGGTATATTATGGTTGATAGTTGCTGATCATGATTGTATTTATTGGTTGTATTTATATGGTCCAGACCTCCTGTATCCCTATCTACTTCTCTACTACACATTGCACCCTATCACGAAAGTTGCCATTTTCAGGCCAGTGTGAACGCCTCAGAAGGCGTCTTGTTAGTATAGGTAATAGCATGGTTTCGAGTGCAATTTGGATATAACATGCACGAGTGAGTTTTTCAAAGACCTCAAAATAGCACGAGTCCGAAGGACGAGTGCTATTTGAGGTCTTTGAAAAACTCACGAGTGCATGTTTATCCAAATTGCACGAGAAACCATGCTATTACTTGTTAATAATATGCATAAAAGTATTCGAGACAATCAAATTTGAACTTGACATTTATTAATAAACAAAGAACAAATATATTAGCTACACGTCAAAAATCAAAATGCATGCATAAACTAGGCAAAACAAAACAAAACAAAACAAAACACTTTGTTTGTACAAAGCACTTACTTGTTCGTGTCCGGGTAATTTTTAAGCGCATAACTATGTATAACAATATATAAAACAAAAGCGCATAACAGTATATAAAACAAAACAGTCAATCAGAGTCACTTTCAATCATGTAAGCGCGACGTCGCTTCGGGTTCGAAGTATGCTGAGGCAGAATTGGCGAAGTCATCGTTGAACCAACTGAGAAAGTTACTTGGCAGTTGTTGAAATTGTTGTTGTTTAACATTTTCTGTCGACTTTCTTGTCTCACCGTTGCTTGACTCAGTTGATTACTGCTGCTCACGTTTAGTTGACCTTGCCGTTGGAAATCAGCAAGGAAGGCTTGCTGTTGTTGCATTGCCAATTTTGCCAGGCTTGAAGTGGATGCCCCATCGCGACGTTGTTGTGGATTATTTCTCCATGATATCCTGGAAGACATTTGCTGCTGTTCTTGTTCGTCTCCTTCATCATAATCGCCGAGCGATTGCAAGTTGCGGTGACCAGTTACTTTCACGATCGAGGAACGCTCAACGTTGTTCTTTTTAAATTTGTTGACTACCGTCTTACGAGCACTGTGATTTGTCAATTTCTTTTGTTGTTGATGCTCAAGTTGTGTTCCCTGGACAATCCTTTTCATCATTTCGTTGATGCGATTTGTGCCCATAGGTTGAGCTTTGTACCAAGTGTTGTTGTTGGAGTTGTACTTTATCGACAGGTAAAACGGGCCGGAATTTTGGAGTGTTGCTGGTCGCCGAGACAAGTACTCATTGAACAGAGCAACAGGACATCTTTCATCACCTGTAGCATACATCTTGGGCAGGAAATCTCTCAACTTTTTTGACAAGCCTCCATTTCTTGTTTTGGTGGGACCTTCGATGTATTCAACGTACTCGAGTCCGTCGTTGTCTTTGCCAATTGTGAAGTCTTCAACTTTCATGCCGTGATGCTCCTGTCGTCCGCGAAGGCCAAAATATTGTGTCAGCAACCACCACATAGTATTGATTAAACTCTCGGCTGTTTTATTACCCAGTTTTCCGTTGGTCCACAGGAGTTCTTCCTCCTCTTGCGTTAAACTTCGAGCTTTGTTTGGTCTCTTGCCTTTCCCTTCTTCGCGTAGACGCTTTGCCTTTCCCTCGAGAACTTCTTTTGATTTGCAAAATTCCCGGTCTCGTATTATGGACTTCTGATAACCACAGTCTTTGAAATAACGGTCCAAGGCTGCTATCATAACGCGGAGACTGTCTGGTTCGTATTCACCGCCATCCTTGTTCCTCACTTCACCGTAAAATTTCTCCAAAATTTTGTCTAAGTCGAACGCCTCGTACGTTTCAGTGGCCTCAGAAAAACCTCGCTCCTTTGCCCATGATTTAAAAACGCCAAGCCAAAAGATTGTGCTTCTCTTGGTATTTGTACTTTTTGCATTATTTCGCAGTTCTTCAATTGAACTCACTTCCAAGTGCGGGAATCGTTCCCCACCGCTAAATGCGGCCATGTTTGTTTTGAAAAAAAAAAGAACATTTTGCCGCCAAAACGTAGCTCAATTTTGATTGGTTCATAGTGATAACAGAAAATTGCACTGTGATTACAGAAAATTGCACCGTGATTACAGAAAATTGCACTGTGATTACAGAAAATTGCACTGTGATTACAGAAAATTGCACTGTGATTACAGATAATTGCACTGTGATTACAGATTTTTGCACTGCTGTTTGGGATTAACTGCACTGAAATCAACCAATCACAATCGAGTAATACTTTTATGTATACTATTATATATAATATAACACTGAGTAAAAGGCTAATCATTGGCGGCCAGACCGCATCGCCTTCAAAGTCAAATATCTCCGCTCAAATTTGTCGTACGGCAAAACAAATTCGATTACATCTTTTCACAAAGATTTCTCATTCTAAATAATATGGTTTGATCATAGCTTGGGCACATTTAGCGACGAACGGAACCAAAATCTCCTCAATTTCGGATATTTTCAAAATACTTAGAACTGGTCGGGCACGACCGTGGACGTGACGTAACCAATACATATACTGGCAACACCGCCTTACCCGGGGTGGGACAGCATATCAAATCCGACGATAATTTGTCGCTTGATGCTGTCCCACCCCATGTAAGGCGGTATTGTCAGTATGTATTGATTACGTCACGTCCACAATCGTGCCCGAGCAGCTCTAAGTATTTTGAAAATATCCGAAATTGAGATTTTGGTTCCGTTCGTCGCTAAATTTGCCCAAGCTATAATCAAACCATATTATTTAGAAAGAGAAATCTTTGTGAAAAGATGTAATCGAATTTGTTTTGCCGTACGACAAATTTGAGCGGAGATATTTGACTTTGAAGGCGATGCGGTCGGGCCGCCAATGATTAGCCTTTTACCGTTATATTATATATGAACAACACACAATATAGGCCACAGAAAATGTTACATCAACAGCTCTAAATGAGCTCATGGAGTAATTAAAAGAATGCAAAGGTATTGTACTATCATGTCAACTATATTTTATTGTTAAAATGTATTTATATATTTGACTAATTTGAGAATGTTTTTAGAATAGTTTTGGTTGACTATAAATTTGTTTATAACTAGGGATCCAAGGATAGTGTGAAGTTTCAAATTGAAAGACGCTGCAAGGACAATATAGGGTCGCCGACACTTACACTACGAAATAAACAGTTACGAAAGGCATTTCATCTCATTATCTATTGTTTTTAATGCGTTCGGCACATGAGTAGAGCGACGTTTGAAACAAGCCCAACACATCAGAAACGTCGTGCCTCGTGGAACTGATACAATTTATTTATTTACTGTGATGCTACACGCGACAAGTCGAAATTGTTTTACCAACAACCAAATTTTGCATATTCTAAAACTTCATTTGTATTTGCAAAAGCATTCCCCACGAAGCTACTGATATGCTAAACTTATTTAAAACTATGATTATTCCCATCATCCTTTTAGCGCCCATATTGCACATTTGACTATTGTCTCAGTGACAATTTTAATTGAAATAGCTGTATAAGATATGTTATGAATAATAAGCACTACGACGTTGCATCATTAAACGGACGCATTTTATTCCCATCCGTTCCGTATTTTATCCCCATATCCGTTCCGTATTTTATCCCCATATCCGTTCCGTTGATCCGCTCCATCCGCTTCCGCATTTTAACCTAAATTAATGTGACATGTTTCACAACAAGAAGTCTCATTTACCTTTAACTTTATTTGAAGCATCTTGATTCTACATCCGCCACCTCGTTCGACGACTCTGGAATGTGTTGTGCCGTAACCCAAGAGTCTTTCCCCAGGACTAATGCCCAAACATCCAGTGCTTGAACTGAAAGCGCCTGGGATCTGGTCCCCCCTCTCTTGTTCACGTATGCATAGTGTACCTATACATATAGACGTATACATAGTGGAATTGTCCATCTGCAAAAGAATATGATTGGGGATGGACGACTGGGAGTTGAAAAGGGCTTGTAATCCCAGGTAAGCTGCTTTGAGTTCCAACCAATTGATGTGTGATTTCCTCTCCTGTGGAAGCCAACGACCACCTGTTGTCACCCCGGCCATTCCATGTTGCCCCCACCCCAACAGGAAGGCATCGGTTGAAATAGTCAAGTCGAAGGGCACTGAGCGCAGGGGTTGGCCATTGAATGTGTGAAGATGGGGGGATGACCACCAATCAGTTCTGTCATACTTGCTTGCGATAACGTCACCTGAAAACGTTTTCGATGCTTGCCACATTGGTGAGGTCGCGCTGTAGGCTGCGATAATATAAGGGTGCTCTCCAAACCCCGGTCTGAGCAGCATGACTCATTCTGCCAATAAGGGATGATAGCTTCTCTAAAGTTATTGGACTGGTCTGTTGGATTTGGTGGGCTTCTTGGATGATTGACTTCAACTTCTCTGGTGGAAGTGAGATTGTCATCTTCATTGTGTCCAGCAGACCCCCCAGGAATACCAGTTGCTGCGTCGGATGAAGTGAACACTTCTTGCGCTTGATGGTAAATCCTAGGTTCTGAAGTAGGTTGACGACTTGGTAAAAGATCTGTACTAGGTCGTTCTTGTTCTGATGTAGAAGCAAGATATCGTCCAGATAAATGACAATGTGAATTCCCAGGGAACGAATCAAGACAACTACTGGTTTCAAGATCTTTGTAAATGCTCCAGGGGCAGACGAGAGTCCGAAGGGTAGGCAACGAAACTCGTACAGATTCCCGCGGTAAGAGAATCGAAGATAACGGCAGTGGTCCTGATGGATGGGGACAATATGTTTGTGGAGGCTAGACAATATCCTATCATCCGATCCCCCAGTTGTTGCATCATTTAGGTTATGCTCGTGCAGTCTGCATGCGATTTTACACAAATATATTTACTGTTTTTGTTGTGGTATGTGACATGATAGATTGCCCATACGTAACCGATTAAAGCGTGAAAAGGGCGCATGTACAACCAGTTTTTACCAGGTTTTTACATTCCACAAGCAAAGAAGCAAATGTTTTATAACTTAAATTCGCTGATTGCAAGTAGGGCCATAGAATAAAGATCCATATAGAAGGGCCACTTACGTCGGAAGCTATGAAGTTTCTGTCCTCGCGCATGTCGCATTACGCATGTTGGCCGCCATTTTCCTAGCCAGTCAATGACATTTTCTAGCCAATAAACACGCTGTACTGGCTGGCTGCTCCGCCTTATGGCCAGTAAACTGCATATTTTTGCATAAAAAAAACGCGGACACGTTGCACCGCTGAGTGGCCCTTCTGTCACTGATCTTTATTCTGTGATAGGGCATGTAGGGCGTGTCCGTTCCTAGTAAGTGGGAACAGAATCGTGGTATTTCGGGAAATTATTGATTAAATGTCCCTCACCCTCGGGAGGCTTGCGGAATTACCTCGGGCAGCTCCCTCGGGAATCCCACAAACCTCCCTCGGCTTTCGGGGACACCTAATCACTAATTTCCCTCATATCATGGTATTACCCATAATAACAGAAATATATGGTATTTAACTACTTACTATGTGAGGATAAGTTTCCATGTTGATAGATAACTTCGCAAGTAGAATGGCGAGAAAAAGACAGCCAAATCAAGATAAAATCAACATATTTTTGAAGCCAAAATGGCAAACACAATAACACCAGAATAACACGAGGCCAAATCATGCCCGTTCGCAGGTTAGATGCGGACACGATGTAACCTAATCGCTGATTCACTTAAATTATATAAGCTCGTCCCTGAATGGCTATGTGCTAACATGAGGTACAGTACGTTTGCGATAGCAATATAGCTGCTTCGCAGATACAAAAATAGAATGGTCACATTTTTAATAAATTTATAGTTTATAATATACAAAATGTTTTTTCATTTGCTTGGTTACATTAACAGGAAATGCTATATCATTAAAAGCAAACAGTTAGTTTCCATTTTTTTTTTTATCTATTGTCTAGACTGTATTGTACTTAACGACATGGCATATCATTCGGCATCTTTTAAAGTCATAAAGAAAACATACCCGTATAGTGCATGGTGTTCAGTGTTCACTTTTCCAATTGATTTCAAAACTTACATGTAAAAAAACGACATACAGTACAGTACGGATCTCTGAGTTTGGAAAATTATACAGCAATTTTAAGTGACCTCACGCAAAACTAAGTAATTAGGTAAACGAAATGTACATGTATTAAAATTTGCGAATTGTGGTATAGAAATGTTAATCGTAATCGGTGTCTTTGACATTCAGGCACCGTCACTAATTCAATATCAGAAATGACAATAGCTGACAAAGCCCATCCCAAATTCGATCACTTACTCACGAATTTGTGACGAATTTTACACGCGATCGGCGATGACTCACGAAAGACCTCGTGTCCATTTATCTGAATTTGTGAGTCATAATCAAATTTGTCGGGATTTGTTCAGTTGTTGACTTTTTTGATATTCAATTAGTGAATCAACCTTTTTGCGTGAGGTGGTCGCGTGTCAGCCTGTCAGGTAACACTGCTGTAAGACGGATGACGGATTAACTTTTTTAAATTATTCCCAAACAATGACTAGACATTATCGTCCAGCTTTTAGACGTATTGAATGCATTGTGATGAATTGTGTTAAAAATCATTACTGAGTGAACACCTTCTTTTTGGGGGGTCTTAGCTGTGAATGAGAAAATGTTCGTCGAGTTGAGCCCCATCATAGAAAAAAGG